CCTTAGGTGTACGTGGCTGGCGCCTTAGCCGGTTGAGCTATAGGCGCCAAGCCTATCATTTTTTTTTTTTTTAAGAGATGGGGTCTGATTCTATTGCCCAGGCTCTAGCAATCATAGCTTACTGTAACCTTGAATTTCTGGGCTTTAATGATCTTCCTGCCTCACCCTCCTAAGTAGCTAGGACTACAAGGCATGCACTCCCACACTCAGCTAATTTTTAAATTTTTGATGTTTCTGTGTGTGGAACAGGGTCTTTCTGTGTTGCCCAGGCTTATGTAAGCTTTTTATAGCTGTAAAAGGAGCTATGATGCTGTATGCCCGAATTTGCTCACTTTTAACCTTAGGGAGCATTTTTTGGTCTCTTTTGTGTTCTAGTCTCTGGATATAAATCTTTCATTAGTTCCCCCTCCACCCATGCCTAGATAGTTCTTCTTGACTGATCTCCCTAGAGCCCTTGGTGATCCTTGGCCACCATGCATTACAACAGATTACCCAACAATACAAAACTGTAGTACGTTAACCCAATGAGGCAGAACTATATTATGCAATGAGTGTGGGTATGTGAGAGGTTAAACATGAATTATTTTATTTGGTTTTAGCATTCATACATACTTTCAGTTTTAGCATTCATAAATATTTTTTCAAGGAATATGTTGTATACAAAAAGAGAGGACTTGTGCATGTTATTACCAGTCTTCTCCTAATCTGTTCACTTAATGTCTTTCTGAAAGTTCTGCTCTTTTTCCCTTCCTTGCAGAAACATCTGGAAAGATGGAGGCTTATTCTATTCTATTTTTACCAGGTTTTGTTTGATAAACCCAAACACTTCTACTAAGGTTTTTATTTACTTAATTATTGCAATAAATATCTCCTATCCTCCCTAGCCTTGGTGTATCATGTATTTTGACTTTGCATCTTCTGACTAGAAAGTTAAGTCAGACTATTATATTCTAACAGTTTTTCTCTCCCTCTTTCAATAGTAACCTTTTTTGTTGGTTTCAGGGGTTCATCTAGAGGTAGTTTCACAATCTCTGGATCAAGAAATTTTATTGAAAGTTAAAATTGAAATTGAAGAAGAGCTAAAATCCCTGGACAAAGAAATTTCTGAAGGTCTGTTCTTATTTTCCTAGTTAATTGGCAGATTCTGTTTGGTGTAATTTACTGTTAGTTTAATTTGATTTCACTGTGGGGTGTTCTGGACTTTACACAACTTCATTGGTAAGGGTGAAAGTAGAAGGGAGCCTTTTTTCTTTTCTGGGGGATACAGTTATAAAAGTTTCCCAACTATACCTAACAGTTTTGATGTTGCTGTTTGGGATGTTAATTAATGGACTAAATGGTCATATTAAAGTCCTTTCCATTCAATATGGTTTGATTTCTATTTGGTGTCTTTATAACTAATAACAACATTAAAGGGAAAAAAGAAGGAAAACTTTTTTCATTTTTACATGCATATATATATGTTGTAGATAGTTGTAATCATAATGTACATATAACTTTATGGCCACATATTTTGCACTTAACATTAGATAGTAACCTTTTAAAATTAGATAGTAACCTTTTAACATTAGATAGTAACATTAGATAGTTATTCCATTAAGTCCATGAAATTCACTGTATATATTCATTCAATGAATGTATACTCTGTTGTTCCCTTATTGTTGAGGGGAACATTTGGGTTATTTCCTGATTTACCTTCCATAAATAACATTGCACTCAGCATTTTGCCTGATGATTTTTTTACAGCTTTATTTTATTTTTTTTTAATTTTTTTTTAATTTAATTTAATTTAATTTTATTTTTTTGAGACAGAGCCTCAAGCTATCCCCCTGGGTAGAGTGCCATGGCATCATGCTCACAGCAACCTCCAACTCCTGGGCTCAAGCGAGTCTCCTGCCTCAGCCTCCCAAGTAGCTGGGACTACAGGCGCCTGCCACAGCGCCTGGCCGTTTTTTGGTTGCAGCCATCATTGTTGTTTGGTGGGCCCGGGCTGGGGATTCAAACCCGCCACCTTAGGTGTATGTGGCTGGCGCCTTAGCCGCTTGAGCCACAGGCACCGAGCCAGCTTTATTTTACATACCATAAAATTTATTCATTTAAAAGGTTCAATGTAGTCATTTTTAATACAGTCACAGAATTGTACAGCATCACCATACTCTAAATGTGGAATACTTTTAATACTCCAAAAAGAAACACTATATGCATCACGTAGTCATTTCCCATTCCCACTCCCAGTTGGTGCTGCTCAAGGCAACCCCTACTCAAGGCAACCACTGATCTACTTTCATTTCCTCTGGATTTACTTGTTCTGGACATGGAGATGAATAGACTCATGCACCATGTGGTCTTTTGTGACTGGCTTCTTTTACTCAACGTGTTTTCAAGGATCATCCATATTATAGCAGATTTTAGTACTTTATTACTCTTTATAGCCAAATAATATTCCATTGTGCATACGCTGCATTTTGTTTATCTGTTCATCAGTTGATGGGCAGTTTGGTTGCTTCTACTTTTTGTCATGTATAATTCTTGTTCAAGTTTTTGTGTGGACATACATTGTCCAATAATTTTTAATGAACAAAATTATAAATCATACTTTTAAAAAGTTCCCTATTAGTGGAGAAAGAAGCAAAGAGTTTAGTAAAGAAATACATACTTAAGAAATATTAACTCTGTAGTATAATTTGGAGCCTTCTAGGAACAACCGTTAGATTAATGAAATAAATGTTTTACAGAGATGATTGATAACTCTTGGGAATGTGTGCAGGCTACTTGCTATACTGGGATTTTTACACCCTGTACCGTATTTGTACCCTAGAACAACAGTTACTCTGCCTGCCCTTCCTGCAGTTAGGGAAGGGCTACATCTTTACAACATGGAGTTAGGAAGTACATTTGGACTAAGGAGGGAATAGATTCTGACTTTATTATACTTATATAATCTTCAGAGTTTTAAAATTTATCCATGTGAAGTAGTATTAAGTTTGGAAGTTCATTTTAACAAGGGAATGAAAGCAATGGATTTATCCTTGGGTGGAATAAACTGATTAGAATCTGGCTTAAGAAGTTCTACTTTTATAAAGACAGAAACAAATTTTTTTTTTTTTTTGAGACAGAGTCTCACTTGGCACCCTTGGTAGAGTGCCCTGGCATCACAGCTCACAGCAACCTCAAATTCTTGGGTTTAAGCAATTCTCTTGCTTCAGCCTCCCAAGTAGCTGGGACTATAGGTGCCCACCACAATGCCCAAGTATTTTTCGAGAAGGGGTCTCGCTCTTGCTCAGGCTGGTCTCAAACTCAGGAGCTCAGGCAATCCACCGACCTCTGCCTCCCAGAGTATTAGTATTACAGGTGTGAGCCACTGCGCCTGGCCAAAACAAAATTTAAAAAACAAAATATTAAGAAAGGGAAGATAGAGCCAAGAGTTGTCTCTCATTTATCATTCTTTTTTTTGAGACAGAGTCTTACACAATTGCCCTGGGTAGAGTGCTGTGGCATCATAGCTCACAGCAACCTCAAACTCCTGAGCTTAAGTGATCTTCTTGCCTCAGTCAGTCTCCCAAGTAGCTGGGACTACAGGTGCCCACCACAATGTCCAGCTATTTTTAGAGGCGGGGTCTTACTCTAGCTCAGGGTGGTCTTGAACCTGTGAGCTGGGGTTGCATGTGTGAGCCACCACACTCAGCCCCTCATTTATCATTCCTATACTGAATTAGTGAGTAGTAATAAACTAAATTGGTTATCATATCTTAACATGTCAAGTTAATTATTTTCCTCTCTTGAAACTATGATTTTCCCATTCAAACTTTTTCTTAAAAAAAAAAAAAAAAACAAACTTTGAAACTTAACCAATTTTTGTTTTGCAGGAAAGAATAATATCCATAATGATTATTTGACCTTTCAAAGTGGATTATAAAACTATTAGCTTGTTCCCAATAGTAGGTGTCTTAATCCCCTGGGCTTTTATAGTACAACCTTTGGTATTGTTTATTAAAGTAGGAATTTCTTTTGCCCTGTCTTCAGCCTTTACCAGCACAGGCTTTGACCGTCACACTTCTCCAGTGTTCAGCCCTGCTAACCCAGAAAGCTCAATAGAAGACTGCTTGGCCCATCTTGGAGAAAAAGTGTCTCAGGAACTTAAAGAGCCTCTACATAAAGCATTGCAAATGCTCCTCAGCCAGTGAGTTACATTGCTGAGTGGGGGAATGTGCTTCTCTAAGTAGACTCTGGATCTCTCATGCAGTGCTGGATTGGTTAAGGCTTTGTTTTTTGTTTGTTTGTGTTTAGAGACAGGGTCTTCCTCTGTCACCTAGGCTGGAGTACATCTTAGCTCACTGCAGCCTCAAACTCCTAGGCTTAAGCAATCCTTCCACTCAGCCTCCCAAATCACTGGGATTACAGACATGCTCCATCATGCCCAGTTCTCTATCTGTGGTTTTTATCTATTTAATTAAAAAAATTTAAATTGAGATAGGGTCTTGCTGTGTTGCCCAAGCAGTGGTGGGATCAGATAGCTCATGAAAACTTCAAACTCCTGGGCTCCAGTGATCCTCCTGCCTCACACACCTGAGTAGTCTATGTTTTGATTGACATTTTTGCTTCATAGCAGTGATTTAGCTGTTTTGGCATAGATTTATTAATTTGTATTTACTTGTTGAGTTATCATACTTCAACAAATGCTTTTACAAAATTGAAGTACAAACTATTTCACTTGACCCACCCACTTTTTACTGTGTCCTCTAGTAGCCAATATAAATATAATGGCTAGGGTTTTGTGCATTGTAATGTGGAATTAACATTATATCTGTATCTTGAACATCTGTATTTAACATTATATCCCAGATGTTACTAAACTTTGGTGTTATGCATCTGCCCATCCTACAACCTCCACATTCTTTAGTGGGAACTATTCTCCTCACTATGATTTTGACTATATTAAAGCTAAAGTCAAGAAGCTAGTAATAATGAAAATGTATTAAAGTAAAACTGAATCATTTATTGTAAATCTTAAAAATTAATTTCCCCTAATATCAAGAAATTGATATTAAGTAGAAAAAATATTTGTCTTTCTTTTTTTTTTAATTTTTGAGCCAGAGTCTCACTTTGTTGCCCTGGGTAGAGTGCCATGGACTCTTGGGCTCAAGAGATCCTCTTGTCTTAGCTTATTTATTTATTTTTTAGTAGAGATGGGGTCTTGCTCTTGCTCAGCCTGGTCTTAAACTTGTGAGCTCAAGCTGTCCACTCACCTCAGCCTCCCAGAGTGGTAGGATCACAGGTGTGAGCTGCTGCACCCAGCCCCCCAAATATTTGTCTTAATGAAAATTGACAGCTTTGTAAAACAGGATAAAGACTGGTCTTTACTAAAAGTGCCAAAACTCAAAGGCCAAATTATTGTTAGTAAAGTAATTCCTTACTTTCACGTAGGTAAAATTTATAGTTTACCATTTGTTAGAAGGAAGAAATTTGGTTTTAGAAGAATTCCATTTGTTCTGCATAGTTTGGTAAAATGCACAAGTGTAAAAATCCTAATTACATTTCAACAGTGAAATGAGATCCACATTTGGATTTTCTTAACCTTACATATAGAAAAGTTAAAAAATAATCAGAGAAAAAAGTGCTCATGTTGGCAGCACATATACTAACATTGGAATGATACAGAGAAGATTAGCATGGCCCCTGCACAAGGATGACACACAAATATATGAAGCGTTCCATATTTTTCTACTTACCACTGCAAAAAATACTGAAAAAAGGATATGAATGTGGGGAAATTAAACCTATGCAGGAAATTTATTTGGATTGACAGCAGTGAGTTTTAGAATGTGTGCTATGCAGCTGCTGTAGAAGTGGAGCTCACTAGGGCCTCTCTACTCTTCTTAAACCAGAGCACTATACTTTCATATATTTTAAATATTGAGGTTATATATAAGATTTGAAGAAAGAAATTTACTGCTTTGCCAAAACAAAAACAAAAGAACTTGTAAAAGCTGTTGGGACTGGGAATAAAATAAATAAGTAAAAGGTATGGGCAAAAGATTCTGTTTCCAACTTTGATATTAACTGTGGCTCTAAGCAAACCATTTTACCCTTAATATTTCAGTTGACTTTCTGAGATTTTATAAGCTCTCCAAAGTATAGATCACGTAGTTTAAAAAGGAGGTATTTTTTTCTGAAGTCCTTTTCATAATCTACAGGAAAAATTAATACTTTCTCACTGCAAATTACGTATATACATACATATACCCTTTTTTTTTTTTTTTTTTTTTTTTGAGACAGTCTCACTTTGTTACCCCTGGTAGAGTGCCATAGCATCATAGCTCACAGACTCAGACTCCTGGGCTTAAGAGATTCTTTTGCCTCAGTCTTCTAAGTAGCTGGGACTATAGGCGTCCACCGCAATGCCTGGCTACTTTTAGAGATGAGGTCTCACTCTTGCTCAGGCTGGTCTTGAACCTGTGAGCTTAGGTAATCCACCCACCTTGGCCTCCCAAGTTCTGGGATTATAGGTATAAGCCACCATGCCTGGCACTATATATTTTTTTAATTAGCTTGAATGAATATTTATTTTTTCCCAAACCCTAAATATTGATTTAATTTTTTGAAATTGGTTGCATATCAAAGTCAAATCTCCTATTGAATAATTTTTTTTCCAGAAATCTACTTTTGAAAGTTTTAAGCTTTGTTACTAATACCTTGAAAATAACTTATTGATAAACCAGAAACATTATGCAGGTTGAAGCCAGTATCTTAAGGTAGAAAATACCACCTGCTTCTCCAAATGGTTTTGTTAAAGTTGGAAATTAATCCTGAATTCTTCATTTAGAAGAATACCAGCAGTTTCAAAAGGTATCCCACTTAGCTTGGCACCCATAGCTCAGTGAGTTGTGCTTCAGCCACATACACCAAAGCTGGCAGGTTTTAGCCCAGCCCTGGCCTACTAAAAAACAGTAACAACTGCAACAAAAAAATTGCCAGGCATTGTGTCAGGCTCCTGTAGTTCCAGCTACTCAGGAAGCTGAGGCAAGAGAATCACTTAAGCCCAATAGTTTGAAGTTACTA